TGAGGTAGGTGGGGCTGAGAGAGCTCTGACCGAAACCACTCTTTTTCAAGTTCTTATCAGAGCTAAGGCTTGCCCAAGGTCATCCAGCCAGGTGCAAGTGGAGGAGAGGTGGGGAATCAAACCCGGTTCTCCCAGATGAGAGTCCGTGCACTTAACCACGACACCAAACTGGCTCTCATAAAGCAAACACATAAATCTTAGTCACTGCTATCCATCACCCAAGATTTCTTCTTTGCAAAAGTTGTGGGAAGTGTCTCCATGGCTTTTCTTGCCACCAACAGTGAACTGCACCCAGGTGGCCGAATGGGCGCTCTTGTGGCTCGTGAGTAAGAGTACCAGAACTATTATGATCCCTTTTTGTATCCCTCCATTGTGCAGGTTCCCTTGCAGATTTAAGCCTTTTCTTGAAATGCTTCCAGGCTGTTGGGAGTCCCACGCTGTGCACCAGCCCGCCCAGGCCCTCCAGGCAGCAGCGGCAGCAGCAGCGGCCACGAAGTCCAGGGGACCCAACCAGTGTTCCCTCTAAGCTGAGTTGGTGTGAGCTGGCTCACAGTTTTTTAGCCTCCAGCTCACACATTTTTGCCTTAGCTCAGGAAGAACGGCTCCAGAGCAAACTGATTTATGCAGAAGCCGAACCGCTCGCTCACAACTTTAATGCCAGTAGCTCACAAAGCAGAATTTTTGCTCACAGGACTGCAAACGCATAAATCTTAGCCACTGCTATCCATCACCCAAGATTTCTTCTTTGCGAAAGTTGTGGGAAGTGTCTCCATGGCTTTTCTTGCCACCAACAGTGAACTGCACCCAGGTGGCCGAATGGGTGCTCTTGTGGCTCGTGAGTAAGAGTACCAGAACTATTACGATCCCTTTTTGTATCCCTCAATTGTGCAGATTTAAGCCTTTTCCTGAAATGCTTCCAGGCTGTTGGGAGTCCCACGCTGTGCACCAGCCCACCCAGGCCCTCCAGGCACCAGCGGCAGCAGCAGCAGCCACGAAGTCCAGGGGACCCAACCAGTGTTCTTGATCCCTTTTTGTATCCCTCCATTGTGCAGGTTCCCTTGCAGATTTAAGCCTTTTCTTGAAATGCTTCCAGGCTGTTGGGAGTCCCACGCTGTGCACCAGCCCGCCCAGGCCCTCCAGGCAGCAGCGGCAGCAGCAGCGGCCACGAAGTCCAGGGGACCCAACCAGTGTTCCCTCTAAGCTGAGTTGGTGTGAGCTGGCTCACAGTTTTTTAGCCTCCAGCTCACACATTTTTGCCTTAGCTCAGGAAGAACGGCTCCAGAGCAAACTGATTTATGCAGAAGCCGAACCGCTCGCTCACAACTTTAATGCCAGTAGCTCACAAAGCAGAATTTTTGCTCACAGGACTACACAGCTTAGAGGGAACATTGGACCCAACACTTCAACTGCGAGGAAGCAGGAGAGACAGAGCGGGCTGACGAAGAGGTGGCGGCTTCTCCTCCTGCTCGGCCACTGGCTCTTGGGGTGAACAAAGGGTGTGGGAGGTGCAGAGAGAGGGCAACCCCCCCACAGCTGCCTCTTAGTGGGCTTGTTTTCTGTATGAGTGGGTTGTGCCAAGGAAGGGGGACCCCATTAAAATCCTCCCCCCATACTTCAGCTGACCCTTTTTTATTAAAAAAAAAAATCAACCCCCCCCCCGATTCAGGTGGGGAGATCTCCCAGTATTACCCTAACCCTGTACCCTGGTGAGAGCCCTTCCCTCCCCAACCCCCAAATCTCCAAGTCTTTCCCCACCCAGCGCTGGCAACCCGACGTTTTGGTCTATGGCAAAAGAGCAGCAAGGTTCGCGTCAAATAGCACCTCAGACTTCAACAGGGGTGGGCAGAAGCTTCCGAGCGTCCCAGCTTCCACCATCAGGGGTCGGGCCAAGGGAGCACCGACTCCTCAAAAGGTCCTGCCCTGGAAGTCTGGCTGGGCTCCAAGGTGCTGGTGGACTTGGCCCTTGCTCCCAAAAGCTGTTTCTTTCCCTCAAGTTGTGCAGAGGTAGATTCGGGGGGGATCGCGGGGGATCGAAGTTCCCCCGGGTGAGGTGCGGGGCACATGACGAAGCCCCGCCCCCTGCTTCTGGCCGCCCCGCTTCCAGCCCTCATTCAGCCAGGAGGAGGCAGGAGAAGAGGGAGGGTAAGTTGCTTCCTCCCCGCCTCTCCCCACCCCTGCCTGCCTGGGGCCAGGGAGGGCCTTGGCGGGGCTTCCTTGCACTCCCGCCGGCCTTGCAGGTCCACCGCCGGGCCCCTCATTGGCCATCATACTTTTAAAAAAGCACTGGTTTTTTTGAGGGGAGGTATAGTCCACTAAGACTAGCGTGCCACCTGACCAGGTTGTCCAGAGGTCCCCATCAGCTCAAGAACTGCAGATCTTGGAAGCTAAGCAGAGTTGACTCTGCAAGTATTTATGTCACACTTCCGGTGATGTCAGGGGGTGTGGCCTTATGACACACTTCCGGTGATGTCAGGGGGTGTGGCATATGCTATTGAGTTATGCTAATGAGTTCCCCTCGTTCTTTTTCTATGAAACGACCCCTGAAGTTGTGTATTCGTAGAGGTAGAGACTGTCCCCTGCTTGTTCAAACATCTTATACAGCTGTTTTTGGGGGGAGTTCTTCATTACAAGCATTTGAGAATAGTGTCTAATTTGTCCCTCCACCAGAGAACAGATACCCAAAGACTTGAGTGGCATAAAAGCAGAAAGGAAGGGTTAAGACTCCACGCATTTAGGCCCCTGTGCTGGACTACATGGTAACGAATGATATTCTCCCTGCTAAACAGATCTATCATAAATGGCTGTATTTATAGGTTGTAGCAGTTGTTCTATAATGGTCGGACTCATGGTGATTTACTAATGCTGTATGGAGGGAATAGATGTTAGAAATGCTAGCAATTATCCTTATTAATTTAGAAGCAAAAAGTATTTGATGTATGTAAAGTTTATGTTATTAACAAAAAATAATAAAAACTTTAAACGAAGACTCCACGCATTTAAATTCATGGCAAGTCCACCGTCAAGTCAAACTGCTGACCTGTCCTACCAGATCCTCTTATTTTGTGAGGTGCCATTTCTCTCCGTGGATTTTCTCTTCTTCTGAACTAGGAACTCCACAGGAACGCGCCGCCCTCCGCAAACAGAGGAGAAAGCCAAGCACATGAATGAACTGTGCCAGTCACAGTTTTCACAGGAACTCAAGTGAATGTAAGAAGACCACATGACTTTTTTTTTTGCACGATTTAAAGGTTATTTTATTAAATATTTTCAGTTCAAGGTTTCATTATAACAAAGCTATGAAGGTTCTACCAACATTCAGGAAAAAAGCCTAACAATGTCAATTATTTCTCTATCATGCAAATTTTTTTTGCATCAAACATCTTCCATCTCCTGTTTTAAACATGGTATTATATAGATGCTTACATTAACCCCATAAGAGAACATTAAGAATGCTAAAAGTCTATAGCTGTGTTTGAGAAAGGCCATACCAAGCTAAGATTCTCATTAAATTAGAACATGTCGTAACGACTGTGCAAAAACAAAGACCCCCCCAAAAATCCAACTCAAACTTTCCCCCTCAAAAATTTGTCTTGAAAGATGCAAGTACTTAATGCAGAGGGTTGATTATTAATCATCTTCAGATAAAGAGACAAGGAAAGATCAGACCCAAAAGCATGCAGAGTTTGTCCTTTTTAAAGCTGCATAACTAATTTCCTGTTCCCCACGTCGTGGCTTTATTGTTAAAAAACCTGAATAAAAGTATCAAGGCTTTTCTTCTTTCGCCTCCTCACTCATCAGCATAGCACTATCTTAAGTCTGTCCTGTATGCAAAAGTTGAGCCTGCGTCCCTCTTTTTGCTACCGTGCTCTTTCTCCACCCTCCTCTCATGTGCCAAAGGGGCAGGAGGAGAATTTGCGCAGACCGACCGTGTAGAGGAGAGAGGTCCCTTTTCCCTGCATGGTGTGAAGCGCAGTGGGGCAGAGCCGGCCTGGGCATCCGGTGCGCAGGGCACAGAACTCCTCTTTCTCCCCTTTCTGTGGTCTTCTCCAGGGGTCCTTCTCCCTGTCGCCCTGCCCTCCTTCCCCTCGGCTGCCTTGCTGGCTCTGTCTTCTCTGGGCAGGAAAGGCGCCCCCGTCCTCAGCTTTAGTGGCAAGGCATGCAGAAAGCTGTTGGGTGGCCCACGTGGGCAAGCGCGCAAGAGGGGTGCGCCACAGTGTAAAACCCGAACTCAAAAGTTTACTAGGAAAGCTTCCATTCCCCACTCCGACTACTGGGGAGTGGGACTCATCAACAGCCAAGACACACAATTGTTAAACATTTCCCACATCGGGAATAAAGGATACAGATTGCACACCTCGGGAGCAAGGGAGAGAAAGAGGGGCCGTGCGCAACGGCAGCCCCCCAGTGGGTTAGGCTTCCCTTTCCCCTCAGTGCAGAAGGGCTCTTCTCTCTATCAGAGGAGCCTGAAGCAGAAACTGGAGAGAGCCTCTTGCTGACTCAGTCCATTACTGAACAGCCCCACCGCGTGAATGGGGATTGCTTTAAAAAAAAACAAGAAATCCAACAAACTCAATGGGACAACAGGAAACAAATGGACCAGGTGAGGAGTGGGGAAAAGCACTTGTCCAGAGTGGCCGGTTCCCTTGGCACGTCCGCCGGACCGCAGCAGGCCGAGCCGGAACGCTCACAAGCCCCACCGTGAGCGCAGAGCACAGATATAGATTTCAGTATAAAACACAAACTAAGTTACACACCTTACAGGAAAGCAAACGCCTATGTGTGTGTGTGTGTGTGTGTGTGTGTGCAAATCTTCAGGGCCGAATGCAACACTAAGATGCAACTGTTTCCTAAGGAACGCACGTTCTGCAGCACTCGGGATCCCATCTATTCTATGTAGAGAAAAAAAACACAAAAACCAGCCCCCAAGATTCAGAGGAGCAAATTCACGTCCTCTCCCCCCCCCCCCCCCCCCCCCCCCTCTGTCCTTTTTTCTCTTTCCCTTATCAGCTGGTTCCGTGCCTCCGAGGAGTGGCTGTTTCTAAAAATCAGTGCATCTCTGAAGCGCAAGCGCCTACGCTACTGAAAACCAGCGCAAACTTGTTCCTGAAAACATTATTGTTCATTTTTGCGCAGTCCGTCCATGGGAACCGGCGGCCGGCTGCTGCGGAGTCCCCGCTGCCGACAATTCAGGCCCAAGTCCGTCTGCTGGACGGCAGAGGGGGGGAGAAGCGTCCTCCTCCTACCTGGCCCTCCCTCTTCTCCACGCTGGCCCCAGGCCCCCCTCCCCAGCCACAGGCCGGAGACAAGGGGAGGGAGACCCCACCATCCCTTCCTGAGGAGGCACGGCCCTCTGCCGCCTGCTCTCCCCCGGCTTCGCTCCGGACCCCGAAAGACGCTCCAGCCGCCACCCTGGCCTCAGCCCTGGAGAGGAGGCGGTGGACACTCCACCTTGGGCGACGACCTCTTTTCTCTATACAAACAAGATGGGTTTCGCTCAAGATTTAAAAGACACCTTCGTACAGCAGAAACAGACACGATGGATCCATGGAAAAACAACAGAAAGGCGGCAGTGCCCGCAGCATCGGATTCATGCAGGGTTTCGTGCATTTGGCTGCTGCCGGTTTTGTAATTCTTTTTTTTTTTTTTAAACGTCAAAACCAACATCACCGTCGCTGTGATTCAGGCACTCCAGAGCTGCTTGCTGAGAAGATGTTGCCCTCCCGCTGAGTATCTCCGAAAGCTGCTGCAGCCAGGGAGGGGAGAGAGATCGAGATCCGCAGGGCAGGAGGGGGGGCAGGAGGAGAAAGGCAGTGGGTTAGTGAGATGCATTCAGTCAGGGACTCCTGTGGACACCCCCGGATCGAAGCGGGGGGGCGGCGCTTGACGCAGACAGAGGTGCTTCCTTGACACAGAGAGATGCACAACACTGTGAAGGGGCCCCTTCGAAGAGGAAAGCCTCGTGTGAACGCCAGGGCAAAGTCTCCTTGGGGGCTTGGGGGCACCAGGACTTGTGGGACAGTCCGGGCCACCCCTTCTCCTTCCCCTTCTTCCACGATGGAATCGTGGACACCCACGGGGGAAAGAGAGCGGGGTCCTGCAGCCAAGTCGAAGGGATTCCCCCACCTACGGGATGTGCCGGTTCTTAAGGAACCCGGCTGGACAGATCTGTCCAGGGCTTGGGCACCCCCTTGGAGTGCCTTGTGAGACAAACGCCACACGCCTGGGAAGGAAGGAAGGAAGGAAGGAAGGAAGGAAGGAAGGAAGGAAGGAAGGGACAGCCCCTCTGTGCTCCGGTCCTGGGTGGGGACAAGGCTGTGGCTCCTAG